ATTTCGGATTTTGTGTTTAAAGCTCCGGTGGGTCACGACGAGGGAAGAGGAGGGGAAAGGGAGGGGGGCCGGAGGCTGCCGGCGCTCCTGCCGGTGCAGGTCCTGGCGGTAGGAGTTCGGGGACCGGCGGCATGGCTGGTGGCTGCTGGGGTGGTGGCTGGGGTTTAGGGTTTTCGGTTTTCTGTTTAATTTTTTTAATTATTTTTGGTTATTTTTATTTTTTTTTAATTTTTATTATTTTTTAAAAATCGGACCAATCAGAAGGTGACACATGGCAAGTGGTGGGGTCAACTAACGGACAGTGATGGTCAACTAACGGAAATGACATTTGGTGATATTATACTAAACCTCAGTGGCATTTGGTGAATTCTGAAAAAACGCGATGGCATTTGGTGAATTCTGAAAAACCCAATGGCATTTGGTGAATTTTGTAAGTACTCAGTGGCATTTGGTGAAATAGCCGTTTAAAGTACGAAGAATAATTAATCTGAAGTTTGACGGCAATAATATTTGTTTTACGTTTTTGGCTAAACAAAGAGAAAGAAACGGTTGTTGAATTAAAAATTAGAGAATTTGTCAAGAATAAGTCAACCTTTATGTGATTTGCTCAAAATAAGTTAACCTTTTAATAAACTCAAAATAAGTCGACTTTTAAGAAGTACTAGATTTAAACCTGTGCGATGAACGGGTTTAATTCATAATTAAACTTAACATTTAATATTTAATCGAAATAACAAAATATTAATATATAATATTACTTGTTTTTTTTTTAATCTTATACAATTAAGGTTCACACGTATACAAATAAATTTTAAATCTTTCAGGCTTCCATCATTCTTTGTAAATCAATAGTTGATCGTGCCAGTTGATAAGTTGTAATTAAATCCGCCCCCTTGAATTCAAAATAACATTATTACAAATTAACACTTATGAGTTATGACTAACTTCTTAATTATGATCACTGTTCATCGCATTCAAGAATTACAGGGTGTTCAAATTCTAAAATAAGTTTCATTGCCTGCAAAGATTTTATGTTTATTTGTGTGAACATTAGATGAGTTTATAAAGGATTGAAAAAAAATATTGGATTTAAGGTGGTGATAAAGTTTATTAGATATGATAAATATCTTTTAGCTGAATAAATGATGAACATATTTTTTTTTTAGGAAACAGAGAAAGGATATATTTTTAGTTTCAATGATTTTTCCTTATTTTTTGTTTCAAAACTAATATTTTTTATAATTAAACATGATTTCATATTATTTTTATTAGTATTTTTTTTAAAAAAATATTTTTTTTAATCACTTCTCATATATATATATATATATATATATATATATTTTATCTAATCCAATATTTAAAAAAAAAAAAATCAATTGAACGTGAATTTCATTTTTAAAGTTTAATACGAAGTAGTATTTTTGTATATATATAAGAAATAATAAATTGTTTCTTTTATCTTAGATAAAATTTTCAATTATAAAAGATAATATTTTATTTTTATAATAAATTTAAATCTTTAATTTTAATCACTTTAAATTAATAATTCTACGTGGTATATTCCTATACGCAATGCTCTAAATATACTAATCCTACATGGCGCTCTAATAATTTTGTAAAAATTAAAATCCTATGTGGCTCTCTAAAATCTCGGGAAAAAACCCCTTTTATATATATACTAGTTTTGTGTCAGGGCGATGCCCGGATTGTCCTAAACTTTCTAGCTTGAATGTTAAATACGATCATTTATATAACCCCTTTTAATAATGTAAAGTATTTAGCTTATTTGTATAATAGAGTACTTTTTGTTGTTTTATTTGTAAAGCTATCATTAGTTACTTGATATATTTTTTTTATTGCACTTAAATTATTTCTAATGAATTGAAAGTGTTTTTATCAAACTAAAATTTATTTTTCTGATTAAAACTTATTTTTACTGATTTTCTTTTTTTTATTAAAATATATTATAAATGGATCTTATTTTAAAGAACTTTTTAAAACGAATTTTATGATGGAAATAGTACTGAGTTATAAAATATTAATTAAAAGTTATAATTAATTATATATATATATGAAATATTAGATTTATATCGATAATAAAACACTATATATACAACATTTTTATTTTAAAAAATTTTATCCAAAATTCGCTTACTTAGCGTCCTATGTGTCACAATAACACCTATTTATCGCCTAAGTGGCTCGATACTTGGCGAAAAAATAGAATGTCAAGTGTCGTTGTCTCGTGGCCTGACTGCGAGACCGACTTTATATATTAGCGATATAACATTAGATTTTCTTTTAATAGGTCAATTGACCTACTACCTACCAAACAGTTCATTTTTTAAATTAAAAGTTCTTTATAATTAAGTAATTTAAATATAATTATATTAAATAAACATTGCAAAATAATATATATATATATATATATATATATATATATAGATATAGATATTAAAAAAAAAGCCCAACATCCCCTTCCCCTCAACTACTGCCAGCTCCTGCCAGCGGCCGATGCTGGCGACCACGTTCATCCCCCGGCACTGGCGACCCACTCCCTTCCATTTCCCCCCACCCCACGACACCCTACCCTCTCTTTTACCCATCCCACAACTCCCTTTCCCCGTACAACTGCCCCCTCCCCTCGTTCGCCACCTGAATCGACCCCCTGCCCCTTTCCTACCCAAAAACAACAACCCAAAACCACCATAAACGACACCCTAAAACCACCATAAACGACCCAGAAACGAGAAATGAGTTTGGGTGTCATTTATAGGGGTTTTGGGGGTTGGTTTAGGATTTGGGGGTTGAGTTAAGGGACGGGAATGGGAAAGGGAGGGAATGGAATTGTCGGCGACGGGGGAAGGAGTTGGTCGTCGGTCGCTGGAAGGGGGGGGGGGCTAGCAGTGACGCAGTGTGGTGGCTGGGGTTTTTCAATTTTTTTTAGTTTTTTTTTTTATTATTATTTTATTTATTTGATAATACTATTTGATTGTAAAATGATTTTTTTAAAATGATTAATTAAAAAAGGACCAATTACATAATGACACGTGTTATATTTTATCTTAACAACCGGTTACCTTCTCATCTAATAGGTTTTGATTCATTTTGAGAAGATATCTAATAAAAATCGACTTATTTTAAGTTAATCAAAAGATTGGCTTATTTTGGGCTAACCACGCAAAAGTTGGCTTATTCTTGATAAATTTCCTTGAAAATTTGGGCTTATTTTGTTTGGTACATCATCAAAATTTGTTCCTCGTGTGTGTAGATGTCCTTGATTTGCACAAGTGAGATGACCCACACAAACATGATGACATGACCCAATTCAAATAATCTAACCCGTTTTTGAAGTTGGTGTATATTCGAATTGGCTCGATTCATAATTAAATACTTCTTCCGTCCTATTTTATGTGTCTACTCCATATTTTTCTATTTTTTTTGTAAAAGGTAAGATGAAGGGCCTTACTAAACTGGCACCTCTCACATGTTTAACCAGTTCAGCTCCGCAGGTTAGCGCTTGAGTGTAGAGGGAGGAGGTAAGGGAATCCCCCTACTCCCAGCATTTTGTAGTTAGTGGGGTTCAAACTTGTGACCTTAAAGTCTCAAGGTGAGTTCCCTACCAACTCCACCAAGCAAAGCTTGAAATATTTTTCTAATTGGGTGTCTTAAGTGTTTGTTTCCATTTTTGTATCATGTATTTATACTTTTTAACATACTCCATACTAAACTTCCCTATATACAATATCCTTTAAAATTGGTGCCTACATGTACATTACATAGGCTTTTTCATTACTGTCTCCACTAGAAAACAAATTAACGTACTTTATAATTATTTCTAATGTATTTCACACATGCTTGTTTTTATACTTCCTTCATTTGCATTAAAACCCGTGAAATATGAAAATACATGTTCTTAAAAATATGACGGAGGGAGCATGTACAAATTAAAATATGATCGATTTAAATCTACAACGACTATATTACACCGTAGCAAAATTGTTTTCTAAGAAAATGTATGTGTCAATACTTGAATGGTTGAATTCACAACCTCACATTCATTAATGTAAAGTATTAACCATCACTCCAATGAATGTAGAGGAACTTATGCCTTCTAAGGGCCTGTTCCGATTTACTGAACTGAACTGAATGAATTGTTTATGAGAGAAGGAAATTAGCAACTGAACTGAAATTAAGCTAAACAGAACATGCCCTAAGTCTTGAATAATTATAAAAGATGAGAAAAGACGTTTTTATGAATGTATACTTCCTCTGGTTTTTTTAATTGCATTATTTGGTGTTTCACGTTTAGCAATGCAAAACTTTCAACTAATATATCTTTAATTTGGTATACGGATAAATTAAGATGTAAATATTAAATAGCTACAATTTAAAACTTTTTTCTTATCCCGGTTAAAATTATTTTGTTAAAGGATCAAAGCAACCAATAGCTTAAATTGATGGTTGAAGCCCAATATCGGCTTATATATTCTATCACGCCCCCTCACATGATGCTATCGATACCATACTAAAAGACTAATTCAACCAAAACCTTAAATTGGTGGTTGAAACTTAGGACCGATTTATATACTCTATCATATTTCAATTAAATGGTCTTTTATCTATTTTAATATTTTCGTTACAGGAATGTGTTGTAAATAAATAAAAATGGAGACTGTATCATTTAATCCAAGTACGATCGAAATTTGGGGTTGGATAATTTAATAGAGGTCGGCCATGTATAAAATTAGCATATACAACAAGAGTTAATAATAGCCAGCAAAACTGAAAGCAATTAACAGTCAAAACTAAATTAGTGGATAATCACTTATCTCCGTAGTGGAAGGTCTGTCACTCTTACAACAAAATTATTGTTTTTCATTTTATTTTTATTTTTATGTCGACTATTCATTGCATTGTGTATCTATATTTATGCCACTTGTCATGTGTTTTATGAATCTCAATTTCTCATCATTTAATATAAGCTTAAATATCTGCCTCTTTCTTTTATTATAAAACTCTACTATTTCTCATCAATCATAATATCACCACAAAACTATTTTACAGTACACTTGAAAAAGATAAGTTTATTGGATCAAAAAAATGGCATCTGAAAGCAATCGATGTCATATTGCCTTCGAAATTCTGTTGGCTATCCTTTTGCCTCCTCTTGGTGTTTGCCTTAGAACTGGCTGTTGCAGTGTATGTCCTTTTTCTCTCTTTCTTTTTGGTTGATTTTCTTGTATTATTGTTGTCGGTGGTGTTGCGAGGGAGTACCGAAGGTTAAATAACGTAGACGTAATTTAATCCGATCTAATTTGGTTGTTTATTTTTTTGGTTTAATTTGTTGTAAAAAAAAAAATCTAGGATGAGTAGGATCTACTTTTATTCTATGATATGATATCTAACTTTGACTTTTAGTTTGATTTTGATTAGTTGTAGATATTACTTAAAATAATTGTGAATAGGATATTTTTGGGTCTCTAAAACATTTATTGGTGAATTAATTTTGCAGTGTGAGATGTTGATATGTGTATTGTTGACATTGCTGGGATACATTCCCGGGATCATCTATGCCATCTATGTGATCGCGGTGCAGCCGCAGCCCATCTCTTCGGAAGGCCCATACCACGCACTTCCTCAGTAGATTGACACGGAACACTCGGTTTCGCAGCATTGTAGAAGATATTTTTGATTTGGTTGTATTGTTTATGTTCCTTCCATCTTTGAATCGTAATTTTTGTTTATGTTTGGATCTTCATCTGTTGTACCAAAAGATGCCAGAGTTTTTGACATGTTGGGAGTTGTTGTATGTCTCATTTTAGGTCAAATACGAAGTATATTTGGTTATATTCTTGCCTTGAGTTGATACAACCGTTGCTATATAATTAATTGTGTACGATGGATAAGAGATTCAAATTTTCTTTTTCTATTTGTAATTTGTAATGCGAATATTTGGAACCGAATAAAAGGAAACCCAAATTGTTTGAGTTATGGAGTAAAATGGAATGAATTGCCTACCAATAATCACCAGGAGTTCTCCGAGCTAAGGATTAAAAAAATGGAGAGCTAAAATGACGACTTTGAACACACATTGTTGGGAGGACGAAAAAAATGGTTGAGTTAATACGAAAAAAATAATTATGGAAATTTTATGTGCAAAGCATGAAATTATATGTATGTACTTATTTACATGGTTTCATATATATATATATGTCGAGATATATGAATTCCAAGATTGTCGGTGGAATGATAAGAACTACGAAGTATTTGATAAGTATTCCTAATATTGAATAGTGAATAATTTCCTAACATGGAAATAATGGAAGTATGTGAAATAATTGTAAATGTTATGGATTAAAAGCATATTTTATAATGATCGTAATTATTTATAATCATGAACTTCTAATGAGTATGAATTTTAATGTTGCCAAGTTGTGTCTAATTTATTGATTAATTATATATTTTATGACCTTATATGGCATAATTGACTATGTGATATGTAATATGTTTGAACTGTTGATGAATCTTATTTATATAGGATTCTTAGGCACGTTTATGCTATAGTCTTTTTAGTCGATTTTAGGGTCATATTTGCATAAGTCAATCATATATCGCTCTATTACGCTCCGTTTGTATATTTCTTAGTGTTTCAGGTGATTTCATAGTCATTTGGACACTTTCGAAGGATTTTTAGAGTTGATTCGGATGATAGTTGGATGAAATCCGATGGATTAAGTTGTTGATTAAAGATTCTATGCTTGCAGATGTCGATTTTGATTAGTGTGTACATGGAAAATGGACATAACATCCTCAAGAGGTCGCTATGTGCCAATCTAGATTGAATTTGAGCGAAAACGAAGCAAACACTAATCAACGATGAGGCAAAACAGGACCCTTGTGCACTGTTTCGACCATAACTCGAGTTCTACAGATCGGATTGAAGTGATTCAAGTTGGGTTAGAAACTAGACTTGAAGAGGTTTCCAATGGTAGGTCGCACACCTTCATACAATTCCTAGATCGTAAGTTACAGCCACTTGAAGTCAGGCCTGCAAATCTGCCACTCAAGCGCCCAGCCATCGAGCGATGGAGATGCTGCACACATGACCCTTCGAATCTGCCTGGCCCGCTGGAAAACCATCGGGCGATGGTTGAACGTCGACCTCGTCGCAGCCCTTGATCACTCGACCAGCGGCCACCCATCAGGCGATGGGTTTGGAGTGCGGAAATCGTACAATTCGTCTTCCACCGATTTTGATTCTCTAATCGAACCAATCACATGACAACTTTTGTTATTTTTATTTCCTTATTTTATTTTATTTTATTTATTTATTTTATTTATAATTAGGCTTTAATATAAATACTTGAGAGGACTTTATTTTCTTCTCTTATGCTTTATTTTATGCTTGAACATTTTTTTACTTTTCTTCTCCATTGTTGAACCCTAGATTACTGTTCTTCATTAATTCGATATTTGAGGTATTTCATTCAATCTTTCGTCTTTTATTTTAATCAATTATGAATTCAAGTTTATTTATTCCTATTGTTTTGTCTATTTCAATTATGAGTGAGTAGTCGTTTTCTAGGGCTAAGTGAGGGAAGCCATGTTTATACCTTGATTATTTGTGCTTAATTATTTATATATTTATGAATTAGAGTTTGAATGATTCCAATTGATTTGTACTTTATTGTTTGATTCATGTAATTGGCCAATATCATGAGTCGATTATTTAGCTAATAAAAATTAGAATTGAAAGATCATATTTTTAGAGGCTTAATTACAATTGGCAAATTTGATTATGTTAGCGACCGAACTACATATGTTAATTCGTAAGCGTTAATTCCCGACCGTAGGATTAACAAGTGCTTTAATTATTCGACCTAGTTTATTTATTAATGGGATTGTTTGCATTTCTTGGATTGGTATAAGCATGGTGGACCAAACGTATGCCCTAAACCTTTATTTATTTGAGAATAACCTCATTTTCATTATTGTCCTAGTTTAGTTAATTGATATCAAATCACTCTTCGTTTATTGAATTAGTTTATAATAATTGGGAAAAAACTAATAGAAACCATCTCTCTGTGGGATTCGACCCGTATTTACTAAGTCTCTGCTAACAATAGACACCGTGCACTTGCGGTATAACTTTTTATTCATCAACTGTACGAAGTATGCACATGTGATCATTGTGGTTGAATTTGATACTTTGAGTTTAAAGGATTTGATGATTATTATAGGATCAAGACGGGTTATTTTTGTTGGTTTGAATGACGTAATCGAGGATATATTGAGGAATTATATTGTCGAGTTTTTACAAGTTTTGGGAATGTAGTACGTTAAGTGCATGTGAAAATATTTTGTGTGTGGCAATGACGAGTTAAAATGGTGGAGTGAAATATATATTTTTTGGGAGATATAAACTGTGATATGATATTAACATCAATTTATGGCTGATTACATCAAAAGGTAGAAAGTATTTACATTGTGATGAGTATAATGATGATTTAAAGTCCCAGATGTTTATGATATTGTTCAGAGTGAGAAATTGAGAATACCTTATACAAAAGTTGGAGGATTTTGAGACAGTTAAAGTATAAAGTTGTGAATAAGAAGTATGAGATAATAGTATTTGAAATAAAGGAATTTGTTCGGAATTGAAATTTATTTTGAAGAAATAATACTTTGTGAAGGGATTTAATAAAGGGATTGATTGTTGGAATATATCGGTGATTACCTAAAGGAACCTTAATGGTTTGAGGAAAATCAAATTTTTTTTATCGATTGCCCCTTTAATCAGAATTGAAAAGAGTTAAAGCATTAAGCAGTTTAATCCATATAGATTGCAAAATTTTGACTCTAGGATCAAGAAGTACGTAACCCTCGAATTCTTCATGAACATTAATTTAGATTGCAAAAGTATGAATTTCTGCATATTATAGGAACACTAAAAAAAATCATGTGTTTCTGAGAAAGATCTATGATAGCTATTATTCATAGTCATAGGAAGGAGATGATTGAAGGGGGGTGTGAATTTTTTGAAAGCTTGCCAATTGAAAATTTATAATGGGAGCTACCTTTTCGGTGTCTAGGTGACCTGAATTTTCTATAAAGTGTACTAATTAGTAATTGGGAAAGATCTAATTTCTTTCTTTTAATATAGGTCTTTGTTAGAGATTTTGTTACAAGTGCATTGGCATTTTTGATGAATGGAGAACCAAAAACTATAATAAAATGTCTTACTAAACTTTGCACTTGCAATCGTGGGAGAAAAATATAGAATAATTTCAACTAAGGGTAGGGGTGATGCCAGCTATCTTTAAAATTTTCCATGATCTAGTAAGAAATCATAAAACTTTGATTGTAGACTTAGGCAAAAGAAGTGCAATAGGAAGAGTTGGCCCCATTGATTCAGGCATTTGGTGGATCATATTGCTTAAAGGGTACGCACAAAAAAGCACAAGAGATCCTTCATTGGTTGAAGTATCGGAGTGCCCGAAAGGTGTGTTCCCCATTCTCAGTTTTTATTTTCGAGGGTTTTAATTCATTTCAGACTCTCCTTTGTTTTGATGGGTGTTGCATGCTCCCAGAATGATAAACTCTTGCTTATACAACATGCTATGCGGTTTTTACTACCTTTTCTTGTCATGGTTTTATTACTGTTTTTTTTTCCTATTGTATGATGGATCAATTCTTTGCGAGGATATGCAACTAGGTCTTGTTTTTCTTTTGACTTATTATTCGACTACATACGAGTGCCTAAACTTAAGTTCAAGACATACTTAAGGAGACCTTGAAAACAATACTCATTAAAACGGAAAGTACGATTGGTGAGGTGATCACACCCTAGGGATGGTCACGTTGGCAAGGGGACTTTGCACTTAAGACACTGTACTAGGCTGAGTTTAATAAACAACCATGGTCCAGGTGTAGATACCTCAAAACGAGTTAAATGGGACGGTCATTATAAGAAGTCTATTACTCCCTCCCTTTTTAAAAACTTGTTCCACTTTCTATTTCTAGCCGTTTTTAAATACTTGCTTCATATCTTTATTTGGAAAACTTTTACAATATTTAATTCATTTCTCTCAACTAGTGGACCTAACATAAATCATATTTTATTAATTTTATATTTTCTCTCTTCTAATTCTTTCAATTACTTTTGCTTTTTACAATTTTTTATTCTTCCATCAATCTCACTACCTCCATATTTTATTACTTTATCTAATTTCTCCTAAAATTCCGCGCATGAAGAAATGGAGCAAGTATTTAAAAACGGAGGGAGTAGTACGCAAGAGGTACATACAAAGTCACACCCTTGCAATGTAGTTGGATTGAGACAACCCTCAGTGCAAGGCGAAGCCTAGAGGGCGAGTGAAGGCCCAGCCCCCATGGGCCAGCTTTGAGAACCATAAGTTTTACTATTGGCCCCTACAAAGTTTAGAATATATATAAATGTGTTGTTACTTGAAGATTCTAAAGTAATGGTTGCCACAGTGGTAATGACTTATGGGTAAAAAAATTTGTTGGCAAGATCCTAGGATCAAATGCCTTTTAGTGAACTTTTAATTTTTTTTTAACCTTCAATGTTGAATACTGATGCCCTTGCTTAACTTTTCTACAATTATTGAACTATTAAGCTATTCAACCTATATCCTTGTCAAACAAAAAAAAAAAAAAAGCCTTTAGTGAACTTTTTTTTTATTTTTTTTATTTTTAACCTTCAATGTTGAATACTGATGTCCTTGCTTAACTTTTCTACAATTATTAAACTATTAAGCTATTCAATTTATATCCTTGTCACAAAAAAAAAACCTATTCAGTATACGAAGTATATGATTATCACTATATTAGTAGCTTACTACTACTACTACTACTAATCTCAAAAACAGACAAAGTCATACAACTTACAAAAAATTAGTGGAAGCCGAGATACAATCTGGGCCCCCACTCCTCTAGCTATAGAAAATCCTACCCTAGTAAATAT